CCTCCGGCAGCTGGGGTGAAAGGTCACAGGCTTGTTTTTGTGGAGCCCTAAGTCTGCTAGAGTGCTTGCTTCCTCCTTCCCTCACGCCATTGTCATGCCGACAGGAAAACAGTTGCTCAGCCTGAGCCAAAAGCAGCAAAGCCGGCAGAAAAAGGCGAGCTTCTCCAAAGAGAGAGGCAGGGAGTGAGTGTCCTGTTTAATTCATCACTCCGGCAGCGTTAGCCCCTCCACCCAGACTGCAGCGGCGCAGTGCTCAGAAGTGCTGAATAACTGACGGGGCTGCCCTACATCTGCAGCAGGGGCTCCTGCATGGGCTCAGAGTGTGGCGTGAGTGAGTCTGAGCCCGTCAGCAATGAGACAGCAGGCAGCAGAGAGCGCCATGAGAGTGCTAGAGATTACGCTCTGAGCAGGCAGATATAGGTCAGTCAGACCCTGAGACAGGGCGGCGAAGCAGGAGGGGGGCGGTCGTGCTGCAGAGACATGCGAGGAGGGGTGACTGCAGTGTGTGGCCGCACTGACCGCATGAACCAGTAAATGCACAAGTCAGTCGGAAGGCGGCTTCTGTACCTGCAGATGCAAATCTTCCTCAATGTCAAGACTCAGCATGTAGGCATTTCATTATGATGTCGAGCATCATAATCGCCTTTACTAACCCTGCTCCAGTTCAGTAAATCAAATTTCATGACACACAAAAAGGGCTGCTGGATTACAAAGCTGACATCACCTGATCAAATAAAACTATACAAGGATTCTGATAGTGTGGTATGTGATGCAGGAGACTGGAAATGCACTGAAATGCATTTATTATTTTTCTGCTGTCTTGCATGAAAATTTCAAAAGATTATGATTATATTTTTTAGTACATTCTCACATATTATACTATAACTATTCTTAAAGAAATAGTTCACCCAAAAATAAAAATGTGCAGAAAATGTACTTATCCTCAACCCATCCTAGGTGTAAAGACTGAAGATTGTGATGCTTTTATCAGCTGTTTGAACTCTTATTCTGACGGCACCCATTCACTGCAGAGGATCCAATGGTGAGCAAGTGATGTATTGTTAAATTTCTCAAAATCTGAAGAAACAAACTCATCAATCATGAATTATATTGTTTGACATTACATACCTGGTCCAGGGTGTTGTGACTATGTTAAAAAGTAAACAAATATGTCCACTTATGACTGTCCTCTCAGCTCAGCTGTCTTTCAGGCTTGCTGCTGATTGCATATTCTTAATAGAAAAATCAAATAGATCTCATGATGTAAAAGATAAGGGGATCATCCTGTGTCGAAATAAACATAGAGACAACTGTTGGCAGTGAAAACATTACCATAGAAAAAAGAAGAGGAAAACAATGCCATGTCTACAGTATTTCGTTTCACCACACATTTCTAAGATATAGTGAGATCCAAACATCTGGGCCATCTGGCGAAAAGATGCTTCTATTTTGCATTTCTCTAATTTGCCCCTTTTTTGTTTTCATGATAGCACCCGAGCAAGTTTGTCTCAAACCTGATGACCATGTGCTGCATGATTTGAGATGATCCAAAGAGCTTCAATGGAAGAACATCTGACCTTCTTTATCGTCACATGACCAATGTCACTAATTTGCTTATTAGAATCTGAAATATTATAAACATAATTCATTTACAACAATGTTTCTTTGTTTCCAACCTAACCCTAACCTTAAGTTTTCAAAATGCAGAGACATTAAGTTACACATTCTGTCCTGCATACCATATCTTCTGCACTACACTGACTACTTGCACTATAATGACATTTATCCAACATTTGCATCTTTTAAATGTTACTATTTGTATTTCAAGTTGAATGCGAACTGCATTTAATTGGCTGTACTTGTAATCTAATATGTGACCCTGGACCACAAAACCAGTCTTAAAAATACATTGTATGGGTCAAAATTATCGATTTTTATTTTATGCCATAAATCATTAGGATATTAAGTAAAGATCATGTTCCATGAAGATATTTTGTAAATTTCCTACTGTAAATATATTAAAACGTAATTTTTGATTAGCAGTATGCATTGCTAAGAACTTCATTTGGACAACTTTAAAGGCGATTTTCTCAATATGTTGATTGTTTTGCACCCTCAGATTCCAGATTTTCAAATAGTCGTATCTCGGCCAAATATTGTCCTATCCTAACAAACCATACATTAATGGAAAGCTTATTTATTCAGCTTTCAGATGATACATGCATCTTAATTTCGAAAAATTTACCCTTATGACTGGTTTTGTGGTCCAGGGTCACATATAATCTAATCGAGATGGCAAGATGTCTGTAAGCATTGTCTGCATCACCATATGTGCATCAAGACTTGCAGGCCCTGTGTTTATGGTGTGGGTTTGGTGGTTATGGCTTCAGAGTGGAACCAGGTTGTTTAATGTCATGTGATACTGAGTTTATGCCCTCAACCCTGGTATCTGAATCCAGTGGAGTGGGTGAGCTGTCAACGGTTCCCTCCTGTGAACTCCCCCTCACCACCTCCTCCAGATCAGCCTGCACTCCCCCGCCTGCAGAGCCCATAAGAAGCCCCACATGAAAGCCTCTGAATGGGCTCTTTCAGATTAGCACTGATCCCACATTGTTTATGCGGCGTAATTAGGAGCACACAGGAAAGCTCAGAGGTTAATTACAAAAGACTGGATTACAGTCATATCTCTGTCATGTCTAAACAAGCAATGCACACTACAATGCTTTTGGAGACCCCAAACTAATTTTCTTTTTGCATCCTATGTTTTATGAAGTTGTCTATTTTATAGAAACTTAAAAAGTGTGAGATTTCTGTACTATTTATGCAAAACTAACATCACAATGTGCAAAGGTTTGTCTGCAAAACAGTCACACTTTTGGTTGAGTCAGTGTTGCCGTGTCAGGGACTGATCGAAAAAAAACACTCAAACTAAATAAAAGTGCAGCATTTACACTTTTAGGAGAAAATTACTAATAAAGTTTAAGTCTATTCATATGAAATTAACATCAGGAAAATTACACACATCACCACCTTTAAAAAGATGGCAATATTTACAAATTTGGAACTGTAAGACGACCCTGATGGGAATCAGCTCTCAAATACATTTCCATATCTTTTCCTGTTTTTAATACATAACACATTCTACTCCCCCTCAAGTTGTTGCAAGCCTGTAGGACTTTCTTTCTTCTGCAGAACATAAAATATTTAGATATTCTGAAGAATGCTGGTAACAAACGTTTTGGTTGTTATTGACTTCCTTTGAACGGACTAAAAAACATGCAGACATTTCTCAAAATATCTTCTGTTCCACAGAAGAAAGAAAGTATGGAATGACATGAGAGCTAGTAAATGATGACAGAATTTCCATTTTTGGGTGAACTGTCCCTTTAACATCAGTGGCAGTTCCTCATTACATCGGAGTATTTAGTGAGACCCACTCCCCCAGTTTTCACTCACACACAGCAGATTTGATTAGCACTGATCCCACATTGTTTATGCGGCGTAATTAGGAGCACACAGGAAAGCTCAGAGGTTAATTACAAAAGACTGGATTACAGTCATATCTCTGTCATGTCTAAACAAGCAATGCACACTACAATGCTTTTGGAGACCCCAAACTAATTTTCTTTTTGCATCCTATGTTTTATGAAGTTGTCTATTTTATAGAAACTTAAAAAGTGTGAGATTTCTGTACTATTTATGCAAAACTAACATCACAATGTGCAAAGGTTTGTCTGCAAAACAGTCACACTTTTGGTTGAGTCAGTGTTGCCGTGTCAGGGACTGATCGAAAAAAAACACTCAAACTAAATAAAAGTGCAGCATTTACACTTTTAGGAGAAAATTACTAATAAAGTTTAAGTCTATTCATATGAAATTAACATCAGGAAAATTACACACATCACCACCTTTAAAAAGATGGCAATATTTACAAATTTGGAACTGTAAGACGACCCTGATGGGAATCAGCTCTCAAATACATTTCCATATCTTTTCCTGTTTTTAATACATAACACATTCTACTCCCCCTCAAGTTGTTGCAAGCCTGTAGGACTTTCTTTCTTCTGCAGAACATAAAATATTTAGATATTCTGAAGAATGCTGGTAACAAACGTTTTGGTTGTTATTGACTTCCTTTGAACGGACTAAAAAACATGCAGACATTTCTCAAAATATCTTCTGTTCCACAGAAGAAAGAAAGTATGGAATGACATGAGAGCTAGTAAATGATGACAGAATTTCCATTTTTGGGTGAACTGTCCCTTTAACATCAGTGGCAGTTCCTCATTACATCGGAGTATTTAGTGAGACCCACTCCCCCAGTTTTCACTCACACACAGCAGATTTTCCGGATGAATGAAATGAGAGAGGGTCACATCAAACAGGGCTGCACCACATAAATAAAACACAGATCTGCTCTCCTCCTTGGCCCTGGATCCGCTTACATGCTGCCCTTGGCTCCATTGATCTTCATGTGCAGAGTGTGTCGGATGGATAGGGAACAGGATCTGAGGAGCTGGAATGCATGTCCTTGAAGTTGCTGATATAGAGATATTAGAGCACAAGTTCAGGGTGGCAGAGAAGCACAAACAATAACTTTTAACAGGCAGTTGATGCATGATGTGTCATCATTAAAAAGACATTATAAAAAAACAGTAGGCTAAGCTCCATTACTGAAAGTAAATTCCAGTGCAATCACAATGTCTGACTGAACCAGTTGTCACACTGACATGGCTTCTCTTTGGGTGCAGCATTACGTGGATTTTGTGGCAGTTTGGGGCTCTGCTGCGCCATCTACTGACACTTTAGTGCAACTGCATCACTTATAATAACTACTGCCAGGCCACCCCAGTAGCTCCTCACTGCAGAACAAAGATCCAGGGGGCAGGGTTGGATCCACATCTAGGGGGTGGAGATGGGTAGGTTTAGGGGTGGAGACGGGAAGGTTTAGGTATATGTAAGGTGGGAGGAGTTGGATCTGGATCCAACCTCGCCCCCTGGATCTTGTGTTCTGCAGTGAGGACCATCTCAGGCCACACGTCTGACCCAAGAAGTAATGTAAGAAATGTAAAAATGTAATATCAAAATATCAAACCAAGTGAACCAAGCACAAGCACAAGCACAGTTTTCAAGCAAAACATTCCACAATTCATGTTTTTTAGATATCAAACAAATAAACAATTGATTTGTTAATCAAAGATAAGACAAAAGAATTTGAAAACGTCCTGGTTTTCAAATGTCCATGATTAATGTGATAATCTATCCATCTATGGTTATTCTGCTATCTGTGTGAACTTAAGGGGAAATGGCTTTATACATGTACTAAACCGTCACTAACAAGTTGATTAAAAGTCGTTTTGTAAACAAACAAAAAAAACAAGTTAGTTCTGAGGAAAGGTCTAGAATCATTTATTTCAGATGCCATTTGATGTGATATGTTATCTAATGTAATGCCATTCATATTCATGTTTAAAATGTGTCACTTCCTGGAAAAGCTGTAAATACATATATAAAACCTTTTGAAACTATTTTTGGATAATCATACTAAAATATTGTTTTGCATACCATAATTTAAATAAGTTATTGCTGCATGTTAATTCTGTAATATCAAGCCCTATAGAAAAGCCTTATAAAGCCTTTTGAAACTATTTTTGGATAATCATACTAAAATATTGTTTTGCATACCATCATTTAAATAAGTTATTACTGCATGTTAATTCTGTAATATCAAGCCCTATAGAATCGCCTGTCTCTCATGCTGTGACTTAGGTCTTTGAATGACATATCTACTATTTGAGGTGTGACTGAAAAGCTTTCATATCATGTGCTCATCTGAAGATTTCCGCTGGATTCCCTCCCCCTCTGTCTTCACTCAGCTCTCTTTCTCCACAGGGTAAATAAGGTATTTTATATGCTAATGATATGCTCTGGTCCAACAAAGAGCTTCTGCTCTCATGTGGGGCAGATTCTTTACACCATTCACAACCAGCTGTTTGCTCTCTTTCTCCACACATATTGGGCCAGGTTTGAGAAATTAAATTAAACAATATTTAAGAACCAGATTATAGTACCTCTAGAGGAGATTCCATGGAGATGGTATTTAAAAAAAAGTGCCTCAATTATTGAAGGTGTCTTCTCAACATTGTGATGTTTTAATTCACATGAATTGAATTATATTATCATTGAAACTGATGCCAGTCAGATTCTCTTATCAAGTGTCATATCCTTTATATGTGGGGACAGACACATACCATCTGTTCAGAGTGATGTTTTATTAACATCTGGCACAGATGGTCCAACACACACATACACTACTGATGTCAGAATATAATCTGTAAGGTTCATGTCCATTGTCTCATTTTAGAGATTTACTGTGGAACTGTTCCAAAATTCCTTTCTCTATAACACACTCTTCAAAATAAAGGTTATTTATTGGTATTGATGGTTCCATAAAGAACCTTTAAATTCCATGGAAACTTTCCATTGCCCAAAATAGATCTTCTATGGCATTGCTCCAAAAGCCCCTTTTTGGAACCTTTATTTTTGAAAGTGTACTATTAACCAGCCCACAATGTCTTTGTGCAGCCCATCCATGCTTTCCACATGTATCAGAAAGCAGTGGGGTGACCAGAGGCCAGATGTAGGCCTGTAGGTTGAAGCTGGTGGAGCAAAGGGGCCTGCAGGCACCACCCTCTCATCTCATGCTGAGCCAAGTCTTTGTGATCTGTGATCCTGCCTCACCACTGCCCATCTGTCCAGCTCCCAAAAACACACATTCTCTCATTCATTAGTCAAACAGCAATCTGTTTGCCATGGCGCACATCTACCTGGCTCAAATCCATTTGTGTTCTCATCACATCCCATCAGAGAAACAACATTTGGTTGAAGGGAAGACCTGAGTGCTAAAAAACATGAGCACAGCCAGTCTCCTACCATACAAACTGATGGTTTACGAAATATAGGTCAAATGTGAGTGTGTGTGATTGGAGCAACAGTCATTTTGGGATGAATCATGGAATAAATGCTCTGAAGTAAAACATTCTGCCACCTATCTGTGGAGAAGTGCTAGTGCCAGAGTTGACTGCAGCGTTCTTCTAAAGTGAGAAAAAGTATTTTACTATTATGCTTCACTGACAGTTATTACTAGGATTTCACATGTTATGATACCTTGTCAGGAATTAAAAAAATGCTGAGAAATGATACTTAAATGAAAGTATGAGTACACTGTGTCAAAGTACTAAAAGCATACTTGAAAGTAAAAAAATGGTTTCTATTTCATACATTTAACTGTGCAATTGTGCAAGCATTTGAAATGAAAAAGTAAACATTTTCTTTAGTTTCAGATTAGACTGATGAAATCAAGAGGCTGAGGAGATTTTCTCAGTGTCCTATAAGGCTCCCAAACATTTTTAAAAGTGACTGTTGACCATCATCACAATTGGCTGTAGGTAAAATTATTATTTGCTTAGGTTTAAGACTCTCTCTTTATTTGGTGCCCCGCCCATCATGCCCACAGACTGGATTTCCATTTTAGGGCATAGCTGTCACACAGACCTGGAGCAAGCTCTGGACTCCCCTTTTTATTCCTTTGTATTCAGTTTACCCTGTTTCCTTCATCATCTCTCTCTTTCTGTAAGAATGTGTTGAATTTTCTTTGTTTATCAACAAGCCTGCTACCAAACACATTCTATAACAGTTACAAATTATGACATTTGATGCCATTTTTAGATTTGTATTTAGACTGAAAGCCCACTCAGATTCACATTCAATTCAAGTTATACTGGCATGGTAAACTGCTTTACTCACAATCAGAAGACCATTTTTTCTTCCAAAACACTAAACAGCAACAAAACCCCCCAGCTATGAAAAAACAACTGCAAAATAATAGTGCGTTGAAGTCATGTCAGAAAGATCATATTTATGAGTTGAACACACATGACACACCACAATGACACAATTATGAGTGGGAAATTTAGGATTTTATTTGAGACCTGAGTTTCCGAGATGAGGGCATATCATTGAGATAAGAAGGTGGACACAAAGGATGCAGCATCTGTAGTTGATGGTAAATTTGTTGAAATGTCTGAAATTACTATTTTTTTTATTTACAATAAAACTAGTTTCATGTACAACATCTATTGAACAACGTGCTATTACAATACCATATATAACAATTCAGTTTACAGCATCTTTAGACAATGTACTAAAAACATAAAAAAGCAAAAACACACCAGATGCACACATTTATTCATAATTTTGTAGTGTAAAGACCTTGTTGTATTTTTTTTGTATAAAATGTACATTGCCATCTAGCTCTGACCAAAGTAATCTGCACCTGACATCGTAATTGCAATTTCCCAACTTATAAAATACGAACTTCATAGGAGGACTTGAATGCACCAGTAGTCCTGATCCATGAGGCCAGTGTGTGCAATAACAAAAGGTTTAGAATTAATTTAATCTAACATGCAATCATTTTTAAAATTATGGGAGTCCCTGAAAGTATCATAGACATTCAGAGAAAAAATTATTTGATTCTGTTTTTTTTTCCCAAAGTGATTAAATCTACAGTTTTTCTGTAACTGTCAGATAAGTGATAATATTTGGGGTAAATGGCCACCCTTTTGAAGGGGCTAAAAGGAGTGAAAACCACTATGGTCAAAAATGCCACCAAAACACAGTTAGATTGGTACAGAAGGAGGAAGTGTTTTCTGTTACTACGAGGGAATAGACTGCAGCAATCATAATGGAGATTCATATGTGAAATACACCTATAAAATCAATGTACATCAAAATGTAAGTGAAATGTACAGAACTTCTTTTATAAACTTCTAGAGACAAACATAAAAAATAAATTAAAATGAGTACACCATTTGTGTTAGTGGTTGCTTAAAATGTACATGAATATTATTCAAAAAATGCTGAAAGTATACGCTTATTGTGACAAATTTTGCCCCATCACAATAGTGCCTATATCTAAATTATATAACTATATAGTCCTGTCCCACTTCTGTTTCAGGACCATTAGATCCAGACTGCCACTGCATTTACATGATTTGTAATCTAACCAAACTTATTGAACCATTCTTTGTAAATAAATGATGTTGTTTCATCAATATTCAACAAGAAAACTCTGACTATACTTGACCTTGCAAATGAATATTCCATTTAAACATTCATCACCTCAGCCCAGACTTTACATGACAATGGTTTTCCAGAATACTCTTTTTCCTTTCTAACAGGCAGAAATAAATAGACTCAAAAGCAAGTGAAATGACATCAGCCCTCATCCAGTAACAGAGTATCAGCCAGTCAGTCAGACAGACATGAAGAGTAGTGGTGGGATGGGCACACTGTATGAACAGACCCTCCCAGACTTGGCCTGTAGGAAAAAACACTCTTTTTGCATAGCTTAGCAAGATTATTGCTGCAGCCACGGTACCCTTAAAGGCCTCTGACTGACCCTCTGTTGCCTGTGGCAGTTGGCTTGGCTGTGTTTTTCGGGAGGGAGTGAGAGAATGAAATGCTGCTGAAAGAGAGGGGATCAGGGTGGAGAGGATTCCCAGTGCAGAGGCGGAGCTAAAAGAGTGAGGCTAGGCAAAGGGCCAGCCAGAATACTAAGCATCTCAATTTCAATACCCCATAAAACAGGAGAGCCCCTAAAAACAGGCTTGCCACCCCCTTTTCTAATTGTTCATGCAGTGGAAAGAGGAAAGATCCCATGCTTAACAGAGAAGGCGTGTAAAAAAACTGGTTGCGTTACAGTCAAAAAGTAGGTCACAATATGCAAGATTCAGCTTTAACAAAGTCTGAATGTGAATAATTAATAGCATTAAATCCTGAATGACGTGAATCAAATAAGTAGGCTTAAAATGCTAAGTCCTCACTTGAATGCACGATTCCTGAATTGCAAGTGAATTTTAAAGCTTTCTAAATATCAGCAGCCTTTATATTCACTTTGCTGCCTCATTACATGGTTAACAGGCCTGGGTCTTCCAGCTGTGCAAAACG